AGAACTATAGATGATCAGGGGTATGGCAAACTGCCAAATTCTGCATCTACATTGTTGAACAATTTAAGAATAATATTCTTCAACATTAAGTTTTGTGGAATTTGAATATGTCACCCATAATATATGGTCAATGTATGCAATATAATCAAATGTTTTCTCAGAGAACATAGTTTCCCATATCATCTACAAATGTGAGTTAAAGCTCTATCTTGCAAGAAGAAACTATATGTTAGCATGATTCAAAAAGGCCACTCTCTCCTGTGGGCCAAAGACAAGTTAAAATCCCAGCAACTGGTCTCCTCAGTTCCCAGACCTTTACACATTGCTGTTGGAAGAAGAGGGGATGCTACACAGTGGTAAACATGGGCCTGTCCCAATTTATTTGGGATGGGTTGCTTCCATCAAAAATTAGTTGATATATTTTTTTCAACAGTGCATTTTCTCAATTTAAAAAATTGTTATGTTTTTCTGTGTTATACTGGGAATAAAACAGAGATTGGCAAATTATTGCATTTTGTTTATTTACACTTTACACAAGATCCCAACTTTTTCTGGATTTGGTTTGGATTATTAGATTAGATTATTAGAACAGGGAATATAGTGTAGTAGACTGTAGAAGAAAACAAACATATATATATATATATATATATATATATATATTTTTTTTTTTTTTTTTTTTTTTTTTTTAAAGAAAAGAAAAGAAAATGTTATATTAGCGTTAAAGAAATTTGATAATATGTTGGGGGGAGACAACATTGTCTGTGGGAGGACTTGTAAAAGTAGAGCGTCTCTTCATTGCCCACCTGGCTGGGTCTTCAGAGTTCCTGCCCTGGTCTGTGTGATTCTGGTTCCCCAAACCTGCTGAACATCTTCTACACCAGTGATTCCAAAGTGTTCTTGGTCTTCTGATCAGGCCACTTAATGAAAAAGACGACTGATTCGAAAACTTAATGGTTTTCTTTCTTGGTACTGGCAGAGAGATCTGCCCCCATTGTAGCACCCCATCACAACCCAGTAAAGCAGGGGTAGCTCCAATCTGGCCACACAAATAGCTATGGAAAACTGTTATTTAATAAATTTTACAACATGTCACGCTGATAAAGACCTCACCCATTCATGCTAGAGTAATAAAGTAATAGATGAATAATTAGATGACTGAAAAGAACAATTTTTTTTTACTTTGTACAATATATATGTACAAAGTAAAATAAATAATAAAAATAGTACATTTTCTATGAATTAACAAAAACATTCTACTTCATAATTACAGGGCAGTCTGGGGAATACACTACCTGAATTGTCTGTCAGTTTTTTCATTTATTTCTTACAGTTTAAGCAAAAAGATTGGTGCTGACAGGTTTCTTTCATTTACTAAAACATTGTTAATTTATTATATAGAAAAACTGAGACCTGCTGTTGAACGTAATCCTCTTTTAGTTATAATGTGATATCTCATTAAATGTGTAGGTACCTGGCCAATGTTCCCTCTAAGCTGCACGCGTGCACAGTTGCGCACTGCTGGCATGGTCTCTGCTCACAGAAAATCTGCATTGCGCACAGAAAAAAATCTAACCTGAATTGAAATTAAAATTAAAACTTCAACAATTCTGTTGCAGTGTTAGTCAGTAAGTGACTGGCTGCTCCCGTATGGGATTAGAACGATGCCATCCCATCCCATAGTCCAGCCAATAATGCGATTCACATTCGTATATACGCAGCTAATCAACGTCGTTGACAGGCTATGACAGTGTCCTTATGTGCCAACACCAGTGTTTTAGTTAGCAAAGCGGCGTGGATAATGTGGAGTGAAGCCACGTTAATGACAACGTGCACAACCATTGGAGATGTGAGCAGGACAGACGGAACAATTGACGGAAAAAGTGTGGACTTTATACCAGTTTTTAAATTGTGTTGATGGGCCATGTAAAACCAGAGTTATGTTAACAAAAATCAAAAAATGATATGGCAACATGGCATTTAGTTGTTTAGGAGGGGGGGAAGTTTTAGGAGTGAAGGGGGTGCTTTGAGATGTGAGAGATTTCCGACGTTTAGTGCAAATCTTATGTACTTAGTGTGTTGTCTTCTGTAGTTAGTGTGTAGTGTAGTCAATAGTTTTGTTGTGTGTGTCAGAACAATGAGGCGACTGCTGAATGTTACAGGTGTTACAGGAGTGATACATCTCCTGTTGTCAGGGCTGCAGATATCAGGCTTGTGATGTTCTCCTTTATCTCATAGTGGAAAGAAATTATTTTTTGGAGTAAATAATTTATGTGGCATCAAATTTCATGCAGAGCACCTGATTGTTTTGTAAATAGTTTGAAAGGTTTGTTTAAAACAATGCCTTGGCTGCATTTTTTGGTAAACATCTGCAAAAAACTTTGTTGTTTGCATAACTCAACATTGGATATTATATACTGTATTTTGCAGACAGAGAGTTACCGGACTCTCTCCCAAACCACAGACTTATACTCATAATACAAGTCACAGCTTTATAAAAAAGAAAGAAAGAAAGTTGTGTGTATAAATTGGAGTTCAAGTTATTTTTTACTTCCAATAGCGTTAACATACTACACAGGTCATGAACAAGATCTTTTTTTTTTAATTTTCATTGTAAGTGGGCTAAAGCAGTTAATTAAAAGTAGTCTAACATAAATGTAAATGCTTGTGATGCCTTAAAGGCATTTATGCCATTTATCTTTAATGTTTGCTTTATAACAATTCATTTGTATGTATTTAAGTTAAAAAGAACAGTAAAAAGAGTTAAAAATGTTAAGAAGATTTAATTTTGAAGGTGAACTTGCTAATAACCTCCCTTACATACACGTAAGTGTATATATGTCATGATGAAGGTGTTAAAAAAAGCATAAATAGAGGTGTTTTTTAAAAACTATATTTTATTTGTCGTTCATGAGGGTTGATATGTATATGTTAAAAAAGGCATTCATTTTGATGATCATTACTGTTGCTCAAGCTAACACAAAGATGTAAAGTCATATTTTGAGTTATTTCGTGATACAATATTTATGTAAACACAATCATTTTTTCTATTCTGTATTTCTTTTCAACCACAGTTTTCACAGCTTGTCAAATGAAAATTGTGAGTAAAAAGTCAACTCTACTCAGACTCGTGTATTCATTGACAGAGGTTTAGCTTGGTGTTTAATCAGAGTTGCTACACTCTGCAACAGAACACTACAATGCTGTAATTTGATTATTTTAATAAACCATGTGACTTGGATGGATTCGATGCTGGCGTGACCACAGTACACACGTCTGCTGTCGCTCACAGTGGTCCAAGGGACCGCTCAGGGAGTTTGTGTGTTCGCTCAGACACATGAAAAATTAGAGGGAACATTGTAACTGGCCCACTTATTGTATGTAAGCCAGTATGTTATTGTATATATTCATATATATTAATATGCTATCCTTCCAAATCTGAAGACTATGGGACAAAGAAATAAACATGCTCATATGTGTAGGCTAACTATAGTTAGTATCAGCCAGTATCAGTATCAAATATTTTTGTGATGGTAAACTGTGCTTTTTATTAGAGAAGTCATTGGCCTTTATAAACTGTGGTGCAGTTTCAAATGGCAACTAATTGTAGTTTCTTCAGTAGCTGGTCAGTAGCTTACAATACAAGAAGTAAGTTGGGTAATTAAAATATTTTTAAAGATGCACTGTGTAACAACCCTTATTGTGTTATAGCACTACTAGGGGGGAGGTTGTCCTACTATGGTAGTATTTGGGGGGAGTCTCCTAGGGGGTTTCCAAATTCATAGGCTGCATCCTCCTGAGGCTGCATTTGTAAGACGATTACGTCAACGGCAATGTGACGAAGGCTGTCCAAATTCACAGACTCTTCCAAATACAGCCGACAAATGCGTCCTTATTTTCCCCAGATTTGAAGGATGGGTCAGGTGTTCCCTTCGTGGCCCACCATATCCCAGAAGTCATAGCGCAACCCAGCCAATTCCAGTTTCCAACAATGACAGCAGCTACTTAGTTTTAATATTACTCATATTACTCTTTCTGGATCACAAAATAAACTTTTAAGATATTTTCAGGCGAGAATGTAATTGTGTAAACTTCAAATATCAAGACATCACATATTTGCAAAAGTGCTCCGACGTTTTCAGAGACATCTGTTACCCATTAGCCTGATAGCTAACTGGAAAGTTGAGGCTCACTAGAGCCGGCGAGAACACTGGACTCCCAGCACATTGTTTTCAGACCCCGTGTGGTCTTTTGCCAGTCAGGTTAAACATTATATATAAGTCACTTAGAATAAACGTCAAACAGAAAACTTATTAAACAGTAGTGTGAGATGATCGAGAATTTACGCCACTGTCCTGTTATATTTTAGATAGCAAGGAGCAGACGGCTGAGTTTATTAAACTCCAACGAGACAGCTGGTGATGCAAATTTGAAGGCTAGACCGTCCAATTCCTCAGCCACTCACTTCCGGCCTACCTGGCCCTCGGAGGACCCGGCCCGCGTAGACAGGCAGAGTCCTCAGGAGTATGCAGCCTATGAATTTGGACACGGCTCTAGTTTGTGTGTGAGTATAGTGGCAGCTGTTACATGTTGCTCGCGTGGCTGTCCAGAGAGAGACCTCATCATTGTAACGGACTGGCGCTGGCGACTACCGATCCCCACACATCTATGTACAGAAAGAGTAGAGCCGTGGAGACCTGGCTTGTATGGTTTTATGTTGCTAAAAAGGAATAAAGGTCTGTTGTTCGATTTAACTGACTGGCTTCGAGTTATCCGGCTAACCTCCACACCACATGCCCGCTGGACCTGCTAGGCGCTCCTTTGTTGCCAGACTGCCGTTACAACTGTTAAGTGATGTACTAATCCACCTGTGCGTGATAAAAACATAAGCTTAAAAAATAAATCAACAAAACAAAGATCTCTTATTTAGTATTTTGTTTTATTCTCTTTTAACTGAGATGACATAACATGTTTACTCTGAAAAACATATGTTATATAGATGTTCATCTACAACATTTTCTGGTCATACCTTTTTTAATATTTTTCTCAGGGTGCAGTAAAATGATATAGCATTTGGGCACAAAAATACAGAGCAACAACCCATAACTAGATGCTAAGATAGCAAATATTTCCACTGCCACAGAAAAGTTTCCAGGAGAACTGACATAAGCTGGAATGAAAGAAATCCACACAGCCCAGAAAATCAGCATGCTGAAGGTGATGAACTTTGCTTCATTGAACCTGTCTGGTAGTTTGCGTCCAAGGAATGCCAGGAGAAGACAGGCAAAGGCCAGTAGGCCAATGTAGCCAAGCAGCAGGTAAAACCCTGGAGGCCATGGCTCTTTACACTCCACAACGATCTAAAGATGTCCAGAAATGTGTTAGTATGGATTTTGAGAGATGGTACATTTTATGTGATTATACTTATTTTATGATAATGTTCAACATTTTTTAATATTAGTACAGAGAGATGATTTGTGTTATATTTTAACAACTGATTACTCACTTACTACATTGAACTATGTTCTAATCCTGAAGTCCTGAACTATAAGGATTAGAACATTTAAGACTATGGTTATGGCTGATGGTAATATCAAAATAAAGAAATAAAGTACAGTCTTGGTGCTTTACTCACTTTTCCAGTTGAAGCTTGGTAGTTTGGATTTCTGAATGGAAAGGGAGGTGCGCCCAAGACCCAACCAGTACAGAGGCAGATCTGGGGGGAAGGATTGGATGATAGAAGAATACAAGAAGTACCAAACATGTGCAATATTCAAAAACCATTACATTTAGACAGTTTCATATTCTTCCAACCTGAGGAGCTGTAGTGCACAAGATCAGAATCCTCTGCTGAGATGTTCCAAACAGCATCTGACCCCTGGAACCTGGTACGTTCGCCCGGAAAGCCAGGAGGACCACAATAGTCTTAACAAGGAGGCAGGACAAACACAGGACAAAGCTGATCCCAAATGCTGCCTGGCGGAGCCTACATGTCCACCAAGAGGGCTGACCAATGAACACCAGAGAACACAGGAAACAGAGCTTGAGTGACAGGAGAAGCAAGAAACTTATTTCTGCATTGTTGGCCTTGACGATGGGTGTATAGCGGAAACGATGAAAAACAATGGTGATGATGGTGGTCAGTATGAAACCCAGCAAGGTAATTGCTACCAGGATGATTCCCATTTTGTCATAGAAAGACAGGAATTCTTCTACTCCTGCAACACATTTCACTTTTTCTTTGTCTGACCAGAAGTATTCTGGACATTTAATACATTCAGTGGAACCTTTGAAAACACAGAGCACAGAAATATGCATGTAAACAGTCAGAAACTATTCATTACATATCTGTCATTTTAAATAACTTTAATAGCATTTTGAAAAAAACAAAAAACATATATGGGCTACCGGTCTGGTTGCTGATCTCTCCATCTGCACAGGGCAAACAATCAAAGCAGCATTTGGGCTCTCCTTGGCGTGTGGCCTGCCTGCTGCCAGGGGGACATGGAGCACTACATTGAGATAAAGGAACCTGAACAAGGAACAGGAAAATGATATAATAATGTGAATCAATAGATTGTTTTAGAGAATTTGACACAGTTTATCAAATAATTTTCAACAGCTTAAAAATGTTTAGTTTTAAGTGGCATAAGGAGTTTGGGGTAACAATGACCTACCCGTGACTGTCCTTTTGTCCATACAGTCATGTCCTTCACTATGTGCAGTTGCTGTCTTTGAGGAGCTGAACCATCATAGCTTCCAACTTTGATAAATCTGGCATAAAAAAAATTCCCAATAAATTATTTAAAATTGCAATCAGGCCAAATAATAGCAATAGAGTAAAATGAATATAAATAAAGCTTCTTGTTTATGAATACTCACACTTCAATTGCATCATTAACTATTATGTTTTACCTAATTTCATCTGTGCTGTCCTTCTGCCAATTAATGATATCATAGAGAGGGACTGGCTCCCCATTGGAGTCAAAATATACATTTTCATGAAACTGGTTGGTAAAATTCACAATTTTCAGATGTTGAAGAAACTGCATGAAATAGAATAAAAAAAAATCAACACTGACAAACAAAACAGATGATTTCAAAAGAACGTTCACAAACCTTGTGTAACATATTTTGTCATAATTTCAATTACCTGACCATTTGAAAATGAGCTGTGCTTCTCACATAATCCCCTGCTAGGTCCCACAGAATCACAGTTCAAAAAAGTGTGCAGTGCATGGGCAATAGCATATACAGCTTTATACACATTATAGGATATTCTGACCTTAGTTACATCACTATAACTGCTGTAAACATATCTGAGATCCTCTAAACCTGTGCATAAAGGCTTTTCAACCACACCTGCATAATCTATATAATCCGGCACATTAAATACATATTTTTGTCCCACAATAAGTCCGGCCATGTAACCTGAACTATTTTGAGGGTCTATTTGATAAGTATTTGGATCTTTAAAGTTATCCTGAGTATCCTGTTCATATTTGTTGGTTATGTCTCTTTGAAACTCTAGCTTACAACCAAACTGCTCTTCCCAGAACATATTGACAAATTCCATTCCTGGTTTGGGAGAAGGTCGGACATTTAAAAGAAACTCTTTCAAGCCAGGGATGCTGACTCCAGGGAAGGAGAAGCCCAGTGTTCCCTCCAGAAGATAGTGGAAATTTGGTGAAGCCAGTCGGCTAGCAGTCACCCAGGCTTCACTGGCTATCCACTGTATCCCTGTTACATTTCTCCTGGCAAGCTGTAGAGGCACAAACAAAGGAAAAGCAAACAAACAAAAAATATTTTATGATCAGTTTCATTTGATTTTTGTATTTTATTATGGAAGTACTGCAAAATATTTCATGCTATATGCCTAATCACACACTGGCAGACTTAACAGCTGAGATACTTACTTCTGAGAACAAATCTACCAGCTGGCCTTCTGTGGCAAAGACCACCACAACCCGAGCAGTTGAACTCTGTAATTTGTCTGCTATTTTTTGTATCTCAGCCACTGTGGATGATTTTGAGATAGTGAGATGAAATTCTACACACCCACCTTGTTGTCCAAATAGATCAGAGAATGCTTGGATCCCATAAAGACTATAGTCATCCTGAAATATATATACATAAATGACTTTAAGATAATGTTGTTATTTAAATCTAACTAATTTTATATTTCCAAAAAGTCTTTATCTCACCGTGGTCCCTATTGTGCCTACCCAGAACCAGCCAAAGAAAGTGACAAGCTGTACAAGGCCTCTAACTTGAAAGAGATCACTTGGCACAGTTCTCAAGAATGATGGGTACAATTGCTTATCAGTAAGACAGGTACAAGTGGCAAAATAACTCACCTATAGAGAGATGGGTTATTTTATAAAACTGACTTAAAACAAACTCTAACCATAAAACATTATTAAATGTGATTAAGCAATTTATTACCAGTGGTATGTTGAAAGGGCCAAGTGTTTGAGCTACAGCTCTTGTAGGGGAAGAGGATGCAAAACCAATCACAGCAGGCACCGGAGAATAATACAGACATGTGGAAGACTCTCTTGTCTTTATTTCTTCTGTTGTGTTTTCCTTTATATATTTTTCTGTATTTTTAAGGCTGTTATGCATTATGGTTTTAACTTTAGTACCTCTATTTTTCATTTGTTTTGTTGTTACTCCTACAGTTGTTAATGTCTTCATTTCAGTACCTCTGTTTTCAGTTTCAAGTATTTCTTTAACCTGACTTTTCACTGCTTCAGAGTGACTGACTAAGGAAAAAAGAACTTTCAGACTGGTGTGGACATGGTCACAACTGTCCATAATCTGGTAGCCTAGTTTAACACCTGGTAATAGACTTGAATTACGGTTAATTTCCTCCACTGCAAACACCATGGTCATCATCCAGCGAAAGGCTCTGAGGTCAAAGCTGTCGAGAAATAAGGTGAGTATTCTTTAGCAATAAAGCAATCACATTAACACAAACACACAATGTAAATTATCTCTCTGAACCATAGACAGTGGGGGAAGAAAAACAAAAATGAAGACTCAAAAGATATAAACTGTACACTTATACTCACCCGCTGCAAGATGTAGTTTCTGGTTTAGTTTTGTAGCTATACTGTGGATCACTGGCAACATAATGCAGAGGGAAAAACCCTCCAATCACAACATCGCCATCCAAGTGCAAGGCTAGAAGCTCACTTCTTTCCAGTTTTACACATTGAGGTAAACTAGAACCACTTCTCACATCCCCTATCTTTAAACCAGGTTCTTTAAACCAGGTCCTTTGGAGCTGTCTTTCAGCTACAGAAGCATCAAAGAACATAATACAAGCAAGTTTAAAGACACAAAAAAGCAGCCAAAGATAATTACAAACGGTTGAATTCATAATGCATAATCCACTGTAGCCCTATAGAAATTGTGCTGACAACAATGCATCTCCAACATAATCTCTAAGAGTCTAATGCAGTGCATTAAAAACTATGATGGTTATGTTATTGCACTTATTCATATGAGTCATCATGAGATCACCCAATCAGAGTGAAATGCAAAAGGAGAGTGAATATTATTGTTCAAAGTTATGAAATGTCTTAAACCATCTTAATAAAATTATAATAACAATGAAAAAGAAAGAAACTGACACATATTTCATTTAAAAAACACAACATAAGTAATGACAATGATTCTATTTGCCGCTGAGTTTGAATTGATTTTCTCAATATAATGTTTGTTTCAATAGCAAAGTTATGTGGAAATATCCATAACCATGTTCCACAAATAGTGATGCTCATACCATATTTCTACCACGTAAATATTAATCTTTTCATTATATCATATTATATTATATTATATTATATTATATTATATTACAGTGGGGCAAAAAAGTATTTAGTCAGCCACCGATTGTGCAAGTTCCCCCACTTAAAATGATGACAGAGGTCAGTAATTTGCACCAGAGGTACACTTCAACTGTGAGAGACAGAATGTGAAAAAAAATCCATGAATTCACATGGTAGGATTTGTAAAGAATTTATTCGTAAATCAGGGTTGAAAATAAGTATTTGGTCACCTCAAACATGGAAAATCTCTGGCCCTCACAGACCTGTAACGTCTTCTGTAAGAAGCTTTTCTGTCCCCCACTCGTTACCTGTATGAATGGCACCTGTTTGAACTCATCATCTGTATAAAAGACACCTGTCCACAGCCTCAAACAGTCAGACTCCAAACTCCGCCATGGCCAAGACCAAAGAGCTTTCGAAGGACACCAGGAAAAGTATTGTAGACCTGCACCAGACTGGGAAGAGTGAATCTACAATAGGCAAGCAGCTTGGTGTGAAAAAAATCAACTGTGGGAGCAATCATCAGAAAATGGAAGACATACAAGACCACTGATAATCTCCCTCGATCTGGGGCTCCACGCAAGATCTCATCCCGTGGGGTCAAAATGATCATGAGAACGGTGAGCAAAGATCCCAGAACCACACGGGGGGACCTGGTGAATGACCTGCAGAGAGCCTGGGACCAAAGTAACAAAGGTCACCATCAGTAACACACTACAACGGCAGGGAATCAAATCCCGCAGTGCCAGACGTGTTCTGCTGCTGAAGCCAGTGCATGTCCAGGCCCGTCTGAAGTTTGCCAGAGAGCACATGGATGATACAGCAGAGGATTGGGAGAATGTCATGTGGTCAGATGAAACCAAAGTAGAACTTTTTGGTATAAACTCAACTCGTCGTGTTTGGAGGAAGAAGAATACTGAGTTGCATCCCAAGAACACCATACCTACTGTGAAGCATGGGGGTGGAAACATCATGCTATGGGGCTGTTTTTCTGCCAAGGGGACAGGACAACTGATCCGCGTTAAGGACAGAATGAATGGGGCCATGTATCGTGAGATTTTGAGCCAAAACCTCCTTCCATCAGTGAGAACTTTGAAGATGAAACGAGGCTGGGTCTTCCAACATGACAATGATCCAAAACACACCGCCCGGGCAACAAAGGAGTGGCTCCGTAAGAAGCATTTGAAAGTCCTGGAGTGGCCTAGCCAGTCTCCAGACCTCAACCCCATAGAAAATCTGTGGCGGGAGTTGAAAGTCCGTGTTGCTCGGCGACAGCCCCAAAACATCACTGCTCTCGAGAAGATCTGCATGGAGGAATGGGCCAAAATACCAGCTACTGTGTGTGCAAACCTAGTAAAGACCTATAGTAAACGTTTGACCTCTGTTATTGCCAACAAAGGTTATGTTACAAAGTATTGAGTTGTATTTTTGTTATTGACCAAATACTTATTTTCCACCCTGATTTACGAATAAATTCTTTACAAATCCTACCATGTGGATTCATGGATTTTTTTTTCACATTCTGTCTCTCACAGTTGAAGTGTACCTCTGGTGCAAATTACTGACCTCTGTCATCATTTTAGGTGGGGGAACTTGCACAATCGGTGGCTGACTAAATACTTTTTTGCCCCACTGTATATTATATTATATTATATTATATTTGTCAGAAAACCCAAGTAAAGTAAATGGACTGGTTCTTATATATCTCTATTCCACTTTTCTAGTGCACTCAAAGCACTTTAAACAACAACTTCAAGAAACACAGTTTTTCTATGCCTAAGTATATCTAACATTCACATAACACATCAGAGAGCAATTTAGGGTTCAGTATCGAGCCCAAGAAGACTCTGGCTTACAGAGGCCAGCGATTAAACCCCCAACATACTGTTTTAGTAGATGACCTTCATGAGCTACAGCCACCCCAAAAAGTCACAGTTGGCAACAACTTGGGTCGTTATTGATACTTGTGGCACAGCTATGGGTGAGTGGGCCACACTAAAGCTGATATGATAAAGTTAGTTTAACACTGACTATATCAAATTTTCTGAGCTCAAATGTGACCCAAATCTCACAGCACAGCTGCCACCTAACTATAAGATTATAAGTTTAGACAGCTCGACTCACTATCAGTGAAGGCCAAATGTGCCCCACGTTAACTGGCTGGCCAAAAACATCTATTGCAGTTTAGAGGTGTGTCAGGCAGATAGTATACTGCAAGTAAACAAAAGAAAATTTTGAAGATTTAGCACCAGTTAAGATGATTCCTCTGAAGATGGGAGAGTCTCAACCAGTAAGATGACAAACTGTATTAGGTTTGTGTCAAGTCTTAATTGCACAGACCTTGCATGTGCCAAGGAAATGAAACAAAAACACATACCTTGATTAAATGTATTCAGCTATAAATTCAGAAAATATATACAAGATAAGAGCAGCAAAATGAAGAAAAATACAAGAATAAAATAAGATAAAATAGAAAAAACATACTATACAAAACAGAATTTAAAAAAAGTACTACGTTGCATCAGAAGAGATGCACTTAGTAATATTGCACATAAGGGCACATAAGTGAAGGTTACCATGGTGTATTGGATGTGTGTGTGTGTGTGTGTGTGTGTGTGTGTGTGTGTGTGTGTGTGTGTGTGTGTGTCTGAACATGTGTGGTCTTGTCACGAGTTGCTATGGCAGGTATCTCCACATGTTTGATTTGCTAGAGGTTTATGCTGGATACCCTTACTGGGATTAATGTCTCCTGCTTGAATTGACCCAACAACCTTTTTCTTTCTACACCCAGACTTAATAATAATAATGAGCATGCCAGATAAGCAATTATTTACTTAACAGCAATTAATCAATTGCTAATTGGGCTACATTTCTGTATTATCAACAGACTTCCCAAATTAAATGATTTCCAAAATTATTTCATGAATGAATTTTCTCATCTGCTTTTAAGTGCTGTTGTTAAATTTGAAAAAAAAAAAAACCCCAAAAACCCCCCCAAAAAAACCCCAACATTTTGGCAGGTGACTTTAATTTACATACTGATGAACCCTACTGTATTTTTAAATATTTTTTTAACATTGCCAAAGCAAATATGGGCGTAAATTAAACTAAAACCTAAACTGGAAAAACTACACTATGATAACTGTGACAAAAAGGACATGAACAAGATTCAAGACCAGAGCATGCGAGGAATGTGGAAAAAACATGAACATGTAACATGAGCATGACCTGAGCCGAATCATGAAGTACCTGAGCTTGACGTGACATGATGGAAGGAAAACATTGTACCCCTTGAATTAAAGATCCCGTGAGATTCCCAACTGTGTGTGTATTTCATGCCCCTGGAGGATGGACATAATAAATGTGTGCTTTCCACATTTCTGAATAGATGGTTTTATTATCCCTGCATCAACTAGAGCAACCTGCTGTTGTCTTTTCAGGGTAAACCTTGCAGGTTCAGGAGCAGCTCAACTGTTGCAAAAGGCTCAGGACAGTCACTGCTGTGTGCAGGAAATGTCAAGTGTCCTTTCCAGACACACTTCTGGTTCCAAAAGGACCAAGTCATCTGCATCTCAACCAGCAACTAATGTCCCAACATTGGGATTGGGAGACCTCAGCTGGCCTTTTGCCAATAAAGAAGAGGAGGAGGACAAACTTAAGGTTTGGAGGTGCCCAAGCATCCCCCACCTCCTGACTATTCCTGAACCCAGGTTGGCCAGCCCCCTCATCTGTCAACTCAGCACAGGGCAGCAAAATTGTCAATAGGAGCGGTCCCAAAGGTGCTGTCCACCATGACCCATGGCTACCACCTATTGTTCTCACGCAGAACCCCTGTAACAACTACTCCCACCTTTACTCCACCCTAGCATGCTCAAATACTGCAGGAAGAACTCGCCAACTTCCCAGGCAAAAGTAACATAAAGGATGTGGAGGCCAGACATTTCCAGGCTTCCCGCTATTTTTTTTTTTTACATTTATTTTTACATTTTACAATTTATTTATTTTTTGGGTGGTGGATTTTGACCAATTCTGGACCTCAGGGACCTCAACAGTGATCTCTGGCCCTTGAAATGCAAGATATTGATGGTCCCTGAGGTCCAGAATGGGTCTCTCTTTCTAAGAGCATATTTTTCCTGTATTGGTTTTCCTTCACTGGCTCCCTGTTAAATCCAAACCCAAATTTAGAATCCTGCTGCTCAAATATAAGATCTTGAATAATCAGGCCCATCTTATCTCAATGACCTTATACTAGAGTATCACCCCATTAGAGCACTTCACTCTCAGACTGCAGGTTTACTTGTGGTTCCTAAAGTATTTAATAGCAAAATGGGAGGCAGAGGCTTCAGCTTTCAGGCCCCGCTTCTGTGGAACAAAGTTCCAGTTTGGATTCGGAAGACAGAAAGCCTCTCTACTTTTAACATTAGGCTTAAAATGTTCCTTTTTGATAAAGTATATAGTTAGAGTTGGATCCTCCCTTAGTTAAACTGCAATAGATGTAGGCTGCTGGGGGATTTCCATGATGCATTGAGTGTTTCTTCTTTAATCACCTTTCTTTAGTGTATCTACTCTGCCCTAATCTCTACCTGTCTATTTATACTGTTCTGTTCTTTGTTGCATCTTCTTTCTTGCTGTGTGCCCTGTGTTCTCTGCACAGGACACAGACACCTGTTTTAAAACAGTTTTAAAATCCTGTTATTAACATATAAAGGTCTACACGAAGAGGCCTCTGCTTATATATCAGAGCTACTGAAACATTATCATTGCAGCTGACTTCTCAGATTGTCTTAGCAAGATAAATGGTAATTGTCTCACTCTGTTACTTTAAAACCACATGCAGTCAACTTTTGAGGTTGTAGCACACAACCTCTCATACAGTCTTCATCACCCTGTTAGTTTGGCTAAATCTGTGATTTGTTTCAATGGACTGCTAAAATTACATTTTTATAGGTTAGCTTTAACATAATCTTTTCCTCAATATTTTGTGCCTTAGTTTATATCTTTATTGCATATATGAAGTTGTATGTGTTGGAACATGTATACTTATCTTTAATATGTGGCTTTTATTCAAACTGTAAAGACCTATGTTACTCTGTTCTGAAAAGTGATATACAAATAAAGTTATTATTTATGTAGAGTGTTTAATAAATTTTTTGGACCACCACCTAATGTAAGTTTTTGCCACAGCTGTCCTGAATTAACAGGACGGTTTCCTGTGCAAGCTATTAATTAAAATTGTTATCCATGAATCCGTTTCAAATTTACTGTTTAACAAAAAAGCAGACGCAACAGTAAAGCACATAGTTATTTTTTATTATTATTGAGATGCCAAATTATAGTTAATTACTTGCATTCCTGAGCAAAAGGTTGAAGGTTATGATAGATTGATTTCTGACTTCTCAGAGAAGTCTAATGTGCTGTCCCAAATTTGGATGTAGAAATGTAGTTAAGTTTGTTATTTGCCTAATAAACAACAATATCATTTTTAGCTTTAAAAAGGTTTTTGACAGATTTCTACAGATTGTATAATTGTGAAATATTTTTAAGCACTGTATGTATGTATTGATTAATTAATTGGCTCCACAGTGTTACATATTCAATTCAATTTAGTTAAGTTCAGTTTTCACAGCGGGTAAAGGTAAAGATCTGACAATGCATTTGCCTAACAAGGAGAAGGTTCTAGACTGGCAGCAGGAGGGTTGTGTTAGGAACGTGTAAACAAGTCCTGAATCAAATATGTGGCTCCATCCACTGTTGCAACCCAAGGGACCTGAAAGAACCTTCCTTCCTTCCTTCCTTCCTTCCTTCCTTCCTTCCTTCCTTCCTTCCAGAGGGAGCAAAGCTTCCATACATGGCTGATGGGAGTAAGGCTGTGGAACTTAAAACAAGACACTAGGCAAAGTTTCTCATGTGATAGGGGAATCAGGAAAATTTTGAATGTGAAAGTAATATGAATTTTCAAAACCCATGCACCATCAACTTGAGACATTATTGAATGAAAAAGAGGGAAGATTTGAGGGATATTTACAAGTTTCCTTAATGCTGTTGTTGAGGTTATCGAACATTTATAAAATGCCCCCTAAAGGACAGAGTACATTAAAGTCCACATTACATTACAGATAAGGTATAAGCTTTTTGCGACTGAAGTCACAAGTAATTGAATAATATAAGTATTGGGGGGGGGGGGACACATCTCATGTGGTATGGTATGTGGTATCATGTGGCATAATACAATTATAAATTATTAACTCTGAGAAAGAATGCAAAATATAAACATTCATCTTGGATTTTTTCCAGTCATGCCTTTCTTAATATTCCTTTCAGGGTGCAGTAAAATGATGTAACATTTGGGCACAAAAATACAAAGTAACAACCCAAAACTGGATGCTAAGATAGCAAATATTTCCACTGCTACAGAAAATTTCCCAGGAGAACTGACATAAGCTGGAATGAAAGAAATCCACACAGCCCAGAAAATCAGCATGCTGAAGGAGATGAACTTTGCTTCGTTGAATGTGTCCGGTAGCTTTCGTCCAAAGAATGCCAGGAGAAGACAGGCAAAGGCCAGTAGGCCAATGTAACCAAGGAGCAGGTAAAACCCAGGAGGCCATGGCTCTTTACACTCCACAACAATCTAAAGATGTCCAGAAATTTGTTAGAATGGATTTTGAGAGATGGTACATTTTATGTGATTATAATTATTTACTCTTTTGTGTCTACTTTACCCATTAAAGTCCCCGTGTGTAAGATTTTATTATGTTGATGGTTAACGACAATATGAAAATAAATACAAAACTAATTCCCAAAAAGTTGATTATGTAAAATGTAAATAAGGGTAGATGAAAGAATTTAATTTATGAATCTTATAGATTAAAAAGTACAAACACTTTATTCACAGTAGAACATATAGAATTATATAGAAAAAAAAGACTGATTCTTTAAACTGCTCAAATGTACCATTTTAGCGAATTATAAACTTAATGGCAACAATGAATTTCACAAAGATTGTGAAAGGCCTATTTATAGTGGCTATGACATCATCAATGTATAAGGAAATTGCAAGACATTTTTTTTGCCCCCATCCTATTGTTTTTGAGATACTTTTTTTTTTTTTTAAATAATAATCATATATTTGAAAAATATATCATATGTCCATTTGCAATATTTTAGGCAGGCTTTATAAGAAAATACAGAAACAGTTTTCTTACTCACTTTTCCAGTTATAACTTGGTAGTTTGAATTCCTAAATGGAAAGGGAGGTGCACCCAACACCCAGCCAGTAGAGAGACAAATCTAAAGGTTGGGGTAAAACAACAGAAGAACACAATCTAAAACTATACAATGTAAACAAACTGATGTGAAAGTTGCAGACATTTTTTCTCCCTTTCACCTGAGGAGCTGTAGTGCACAAGATCAAAATCCTCTGCTGGAATGTACCAAACAGCATCCGACCCCTGGAAACAGGTACATTAGTCTGGAAAGCCAGGAGGACCACAATAGTCTTAACAAGGAGGCAGGACAAACACAGGACAAAGCTAATCCCAAATGCTGCCTGGCGGAGCCTACATGTCCACCAAGACGGCTGACCAATGAACACCAGACAACACAGGAAACAGAGCTTGAGTGACAGGAGAAGCAAGAAACTTATTTCTGAATTGTTGGCCTTGACGATGGGTGTAAAGCGGAAACTGTGAAACACAATGGTGATGATGGTGGTCAGTATGAAACCCAGCAAGGTAATTGCTACCAGGATGATTCCCATCGTGTCACTGAAAGACAGGAATTCTTCTTCGCCTGCAACACATTTCACTTTTTCTTTGTCTGACCAGAAGTACTCAGGACATTTAATACATTCAGTGGAACCTTTGAAAACACAGAGCACAGAAATATGCATGTAAACAGTCAGAAACTATTCATTACATATCTGTAATTTTAAATAACTTTAATAGCATTTTGGAAAAAAAAATTATATGGGCTACCGGTCTGGTTGCTGATCTCTCCATCTGCACAGGGCAAACAATCAAAGCAGCATTTGGGCTCTCCTTGGCGTGTGGCCTGCCTGCTGCCAGGGGGACATGGAGCACTACACTGAGATACAGGAACCTGAACAAGAAACAGAAAAACGATATAATAATGTGAATCAATAGGTTGTTTGACATGGTTACCAAAGACTTTTCACCATTTAAAGTAACATAAATAATAGGTTTGGGATAACTACGACCTGCCTGTGACTGTCTTGTTGTCCATACTATAGTGTTCTTCAGTATCTGCAGCTGTTGTCCTTGCTGAGCTGAACCATCATAATTTCCTACCTTGACAAAACTAGTAGAAAAAAGAAGAGATAATTTCAATGCAATGCAGTCAGTCAAAACAATAAATGTAAAAACATTACATTAAAAAACAATATTGGTATCCTTAAATGTATACAACAAGTGTAGTTCTTGACTTATGATCATCTTCACAAAAAGTTAAAAAGTTAGCTTGAAGTATGGCATTTCACCTAATTTCATTCTTGCTGTCCTTCTGCCAGTTAATGATGTCATAGAGAGGGACTGGCTCTCCATTGGAGTCAAAATATACTTTCTCATCAAACTGGTTGGTGAAATTCACCATTTTCAGATATTGAAGAAACTACATAAAAAAGATTTTTAAAAAAATGTTAATAATAAACCTGATACAAATAAATCATGAAATAAAAAAAAACCCAAACATGTGAAGCTTGATTAACATATTTAACATTATTTGACATACAAATGAACTTATTCAGCTACCTGACCGTTTGTAAATGAGTTGTGCATCTCACACAATCCCCTGGTAGGTCCTGTTGAGTTACAGTTTAAGAAAGTGTGCAGAGCATGGGCAACGGCATACACAGCTTTATACACATTATAGGATATTCGGGCCTGAGATACATCACTATAACTGCTATCTGTGTAACTCAGATCCTCTAAACCTGTGCATACAGTTTTTTTCAGAGCGCCTTCATTACTTTTATCAACAGACATATTAAATGAACTTTGCCCAACAGTAAGCCTGACTATGAAACCAGAATTGTTTTGAGAGCCTAGTTTGTAGTTTTTCAAAGTATTAGTTTCATATTCTTCACTTTTGTCTCTTTCAAACTCTAGCTTACAACCAAAATATTCTTCCCAGAACACATTGACCAACTCCATTCCTGGTTTGGGAGATGGTCGGACATTCAGAAGAAACTCTTTCAAGCCTGGGATGCTGACTCCAGGGAAGGAGAAACCCAGTGTTCCCTCTAGAAGATTATGGAAGTCAGGAGTGGTCAGCTGAGTAGCGGTCATCCAGGCTTCGCTGACTACCCATTGTATCCCTGTCATATTTCTCTGAGTAAGCTGGATGAAACAGAAAGAAATGATGATTAATGTGAAAACAATTAATTTGAAATACCTATCTTTTCATAATATAGCTTAAAACACTACAAAATGTGTCACAATATAGGGAAAGCCACAGAAAACTGAGATACTTACTTCTGAAAACAAATCTAGCAAATTTACGTCTTTGGCAAATACCACCACAACCCGAGCTGTTGACCTCTGGAGTTTGTCTGCCATTTTTTGTATCTCAGCGACTGTGGGTGATGTCGGGATCGTGAGATGAAATGCCACACACCCACCTTGTTGTCCAAACTGAATAGAGAATGCTTGGATACCATAAAGACTGTAATCATCCTGAAATGTATCCCCAAAAAGAACTTGTAAGTCATGTCTGTGTATATTAACGATTCTTTTTGTGCCCTGTATATGACTGATTAGCTGGAGATTTATTAAAGTCTTTATCTCACCATAGCTCCTATTGTGCCCACCCAGAACCAGCCAAAGAAAGTAACAAGCTTTACGAGACCTCTAACTTGAAAGAGATCACTTGGCACAGTTCTCAAGAATGATGGGTACAAATGCTTGTCAGTAAGACAGCTACAAGTGGCAAAATAACTCACCTATAAGGAGACAGGTTATTTTATGATATTGAATTAAAACAAACTCTAAACATAAATTATTATTAAACGTGATTAAGCAATTTATTACCAGAGGTATGTTGAAAGGGCCAAGCGTGTGAGCTACAGCTCTTGTAGGGGTAGATGATGCAAGACCAATCACAGCAGGCACCGGAGAATAATTCAGACAGGGGGAATACTCCCTTGTCTTCATTTCTACTGTTAATTTTTCTTTCATGTAATTTTCTGCGTCTTTAAGAGTCCTAGGCTTTGACATGTTAACTTCAGCATGTCTTTTTTCTACAGAGAAAAGGATCCCAGGCTTCCTTTTTATCCCTGCCATGTTTAATCCCTCCATTTGAATTCTGCTGTTTTCAGTTTCTGCTGTTTGTTTCACAGTTTTGGAGTAACTGATTAAGGAAAAAAGTGCTTGCAGACTGGTGTGGACATGGTCACAGCTGTCCATAATTCTGTAGCCTAGTTTAACACCTGGTAATAGGCTTGAATTACGATTAATTTCATCCACAGTGAAAACCATGGTCATCATCCAGTGAAACACGGTGTGGTAAAGGCTGACAAACAATAAATTTAAATAAATAAATTATCTAAAGTGATACACAAATCACAGGAATATTATCAAAACCCCAAATCTTGTTTTCTCTTTCTCTTTTGTTTTTAAACATTGAGACATTAAAAGAAAAAAATAAGATATAAATATTAACACTCACCCACAGCAAGATGTAACTTGAGGTTTACTGTTGTAACTGTACTCTGGCTTAGATGCAACATAATGTAGAGGGAAAAATCCTCCAATCACAACATCACCATCTGAGTGCAAGGCTACGGGCTTGCTGCTGGCCAGTTTTGTACACTCAGGTAAACTGAAATCCTCACTTTTCACTTCCCCCTTCCGTAAACCACTCAGTGGTTCTCTCAGAGCCTCTTCTTTCCTCATAACATCTCCCTCCATCCTTTTTGGTTTTCTTTCAACTACAGTTTGAGGAACATCAGAGAACATGATACAAACAGGATTTAAAAAGAGATAAAAAAGCAGCCAAAGACAATTACTAAAAAGGATTGAATGCATCTTCTGTTGTATAAAAACTTTGTGTGCTGAAAACAGTTTCCTGGCTTTGGTTTTCTAACATACTCCGTAACAGACTAATGAGGAGAGTTAAATACTCAATGCATTTGTCAATACATTTTTTCATATGAGTCATCATGAGATTAACCAATCAGAGTGACACAGACACATGGGAGAGAGGATAGCTCAACATGTACTCAGCAAAAGTTAATGTCTTCATCTCATTATATTTTTTAGAAAACCCAAGTGAAGTCACACTCCACAAGTGCCATAATGTCTTGTTAATGTTTGCTCAGCTATGGTTCTATGGCCAGATGCACAGCAGAAATCATGCAGTGAGCTAAACACTAGGTACAGAAAGTGTTATGGTAGCTAAATGCGGTCCAAATGTTACAGGACACCTGACACCTCATACTATAATGTGGTAATATTATAACTGTAGCAACAGGTGTTTGTTTTTTGTTTTTTTAAATTTATTTTTTTCTTTTTGTCCCATTTGGATCTTTAGCCATCAGAATTGTTGTCTTAAGGCCAAGAAAGATGCCAAGTGGATCATCATGGCCTTTCTATATTGGTCCATTTGATTGACCTTTATTATAATTATGTATTTATTTTATTTTATTTTCGGTTGCTACAAACGGGACAGACATGACTGGGGGACAGGACAGGGAGAGAGAATGAAATAAAGAGAGGGAGAGAAAGAAAAACAGAGGGGAGACGAGACGGTGAGAAAGGGGGGAAGAAAGAAAGAAAAACAAACAAAACACCTGGATCACCTGTATGGAGAGAGAGAAAAAACAGAAGAGAAAACAAACAAAAAAAAGCAACATAATAAATACAGCACCATCACAATAAACTAGCTAGCAGAAAATAACAGTAGATACTAAATATTAAACGCTATTGTGCAGCACGCAAGATAGACAGCACACAATGTGCTTTGAGGTAGCAGCCACGAAAGGTGTAGTCCGTGTCTGTGAACACCCGTGTGTACACCTGTGTGCACACCTGTGTGGATCAGCATGCTTGTATTCCAAAGGTTTCTGCATGTAACGATCTGCTAGGGAGTGTGGGGAGCCATAGCCCTGTCCACCAGGGTATGAAGCAGGTATGGAGGAGATCCAGGCCCCAGACATCCAGAGGCCCCAGAGTACGAGGACCCGAGGAGGACCACCAAAGGGGGGGAACCGTGCCACCCTCCTGGGAAGAGCTGAGTAGAGCCCCAAAGGAGAGGTCACCCAGCAGCTACGGAGCAGAGGCCAGAGGGGGTTGCCCAGCCAGGCCACAGGCACCAGGCCCTGCCAATCGGCCATCAGGAGTGAGCCGGTACATACGTGAGCACCCAGCCCCAGTCGACAAGAACCACCAACACACCAACGTCTGAGGGCATCAGCCACCGGCAGGGAGTGTGGTGAGGGGAGATAGGCCTCCGTACTTTAGAGGGCCTGAGATGTACCCAGAGAGGTTGAGTCTAAGACCCAACCTGACATATAGACACAGACGAACAGGCGCACACGGACACAAAAGTGCATTCCCACCACCATATACACATCCAAATACTCAGCACTCACCCAACATGTAGACAGACACAAATAGACACTGCACAGACAGTCACACTCCCCAAACATACTCTATATCCCAGGTCCAGGTAAACCCCGCCCCCAGAGGGGCAAGCCGCACCTAGACCCAGGAGATGTAACCCTTCTCTCTGGGGTGGAGGCAAGCGGACCACCCCCTTATCTGCAGTAGCAGGGATGCCCCGCATCCCAGACTCCAATCTGACGGCCAGCACCTCCTCCTAGCCCCCCAGCCCTGACGGCTAACAGAACCGGGGTGAGTGAAGACCCCAAACCTCCCTCCACCATATGTAGTGTTGCTGTGTGCAGTTCTAAAGTGCATTTAAACCACAGGAGAGCATGGTTCCTGCTTCCTATCAGAGAGCAGCACGGCTCCTCCCGAAAACCCTCAGTGTCTATATGCATTTAAAAATGAGGGTAGGGCACCAGCGCCAGAGGTGGGTTGGAATACACCTACTATCCTCTGGATGCTGTAAAACGTGCCCACCCCCAAGGCCCTATATGTATGTGTTATGTGAGAGTGTGAGTAATGTGGATGTCTAGGTTGCAGAATAAAATTGAGGCACAGGCGGCCAGAAGGGGAAAGAGGGGGAGTGCCTCCCCTGCACCCTGGTGACATACCTGCACCCCAAACCCTGCGTGTGTGGGTGGGTGTGGTAGAGCGGGAATAGGGAGGCAGCTGAGGATGGGGAGGGAAGAAAGGGAGGGGCAAGTGGCCCTAAAATTGTCAGGGCTCTGTGTGCGGGCAGGCGGAGAGGAGGATCCAAGCATAGGACTCGAACACAGAATTGTGAATCAGAACCTTAGCTTTATTGCTGACATGAAAACCAAACGTGAAGTGACCACTGAAACCGGAGACCAGGAACACACAGGCATAATCTGAGGGTACAACATGACACTGAGCACAGGAAAACACAGGGCTAATATACACAGGGTGGTAATCAGGGAATGGGCAACAGGAGGGAGACACAGCTGGGAGAGATCAGGGTAACGAGACGGGGGGGGGGGAACCAAGCTGCACACACTAACATAAGACAAAGACTTTCACAATAAAACAGGAAACATGAATTACTAAAGAAGCACGCAGACTTGACACTGTGAGACAGACAGACAGAATGACACATGGAACGTGAACTAAACTAAACGTGAGATATAACCGAGAACAAATCCTTAAGCAGGGATAAACAGAAACAAGAAACTAATAATAATCATCATCATTACTACGAGAATAAGAAAACAATCCATGAAGCAGAATTAAACCGAAATAGAATAAACTCAACATACTGGGTCCAACGGACCCAGAACCGTAACAAAAATATTCTAGAGTCAAATGTGAGGCCATGTGTCCAATAGCTAAAGTTTGATCGAACCTCCTGATCAGGCTTTCCAGTCTGCCTTACCTCTTGGTCAGTCTCTAAAATGCATTTGCTGTCATTAAAATAACTGTCTTTTAATGTTAAGGGTTTCTTCATCAGTTCTAATATATTTTGGATTTGAATGAACTGTGACAGTTGTATACAACTGGTATTATAGTAAGTGTATTAAAGTGTACAACAAAATAAATATGTATAATCAGCTAAAACGTATCCATATTTGGAGGTAACATAGAAATTCAACACTAAATATTCCTTTTAATTTCTCTGGTTACGTTTTTGAGAAAAGCCTTTCTTTAATTGCTAAATAACCTGCAACCTCGATTTGATGTCAACAACTGTAAAAACTAGACAAAACTCAAAATTTGGGGTAAATATTGACTCATTTATTCAATAAGCTGTATTTGAAAATCCCTCTGTGCTGAATGTTCTAACAGCAGGTAGAGCTGTGTACTGTGAACCAAATTAAACAGCTCATTGCTTACATTTTAAAAATGCTTTTTACAAAGCATCTTTTTTATCCAGTAATAGTTGAAGTAATATATATAGTATATATATATTGAAAAATAAATTGATTGTTACAGCCAATCAGTGCAATGAATAAATGGTCATAAACTGTGGCATTAAAAAAACAATCTTAAGAATTTTAACTTTAACAACATAGTTCCAGGTGTTTAGACATCCTTTTAGACAATTAAACCCAAAATCATTATTTGCAACTCAGAAGAACAACCTAAGAACCAGTCAGGTTGCCTAAAAATCATGTTTTTGACATATATAACAAAGAAACAGTTTTTCCCACACACAGATTTTAAGATTTAGGTATAAATGGCTAGAACTGGAACTTTTTATATCCACTTTTCACAGCTGGCTTGCCTGTATTGTTGCAGTGCTCTAAATCACTCAACTGCTTCCCATGTTACACATTTGGGCTGCAGTTAGAGCTTGTTCCACTCATGAGATCTGAAAGGAGCTGCAGGCTTCCTCTTACCAGAATCTGCAGATATCTCACACACACAAACACACACCGACACAGACACACACAGACACACACATACCAACACCAAGAACAGTCCAACATGCTAACCATGTTAGTGTTTAACACAGTGTTTGCCTCACTAGGCAGGGCTTTTGTTTTATCTAAGATGTGTGTGGACAGTACAGAGACTGTTGGTGGTTTAATCACTTTGGGGCTGACTGAATCCATGTGTAAGCAGGATCGTGTTGCACACAGTTGGGCTGTAGATGAGGTAGAAAATAATAGCTTTTAACAAATAATTTTAGTTAAAACAAGTAACAGAACTAACAAGAGAAGAAAAACATCCAGAATCACTGAAACATGTTTCAGATGATATTTTATTTACTTTCACATTCAAACATTATAAGTGATTACTACAGTATTAAACTTAAACACAACTGGGTTTTCCAACACAATAAACACAAAGTTTTTCTTTTTTTCACATTAAAATATAAGAATTTATTTTTTTACTCTGAAATAGAAATAAAAAATTCATCTTGAATATTTTCCAGTCATGCCTTTCTTGATATTTCTCTCAGGTCGTAGTAAAATAATGTAACATTTGGGGATGAAAATACATAGTAACAATCCAAAACTGGATGATAATATAGCAAATATTTCCACTGCCACAGAGAACTTTCCAGGAGAGCTGACATAAGCTGGAATGAAAGAAATCCACACAGCCCAGAAAATTAGCATGCTGAAGGTGATGAGCTTTGCTTCGTTGAACGTGTCTGGTAGTTTTCGTCCAAGAAATGCCAGGAGAAGACAGGCAAAGGCGAGCAGGCCAATGTAACCAAGGAGCAGGTAGAATCCAGGAGGCCATGGCTCTTTACACTCCACCACAATCTAATATAATCTAACAATTAGTATGTATACAGAGAAATGGTTCATTTTATATGATTTATTTGTTTCTGCTCT